TTTGACCAAATCTTAGATTGTCTGATTCGGTCTGATATCCTACACTAGTCATGGGCTCACTGGATGCAGAATCCGATGTGGCCACCCCTTGGCAGGCCTGTCGAGTTGCCTCCACTAATTCACTCCATGAACTGAACTGGGTAGAATCAGGGATGTTGGAGGCAGTGTTAACTGCTATTAGGCAGTAGCATGGAAGCCCTTTCAATTCGGATGCTTCCTCTGACTGTGTGAGTTCAGGTTTCTTAGGCCAGTGCTCTTGGCTCTGTTTCAAGAATGGAGGTCCTTGACTCCATCGACTAGGCTCAGCCAGACTTTGGAGCGATTTACCTCGTGTTATGTCGTCAGCGGGGTTTTCCTGTGTATTCACGTACCTCCAGGATCTGTGGTCTGTTAATTCCTGCATCTCAGAGACTCGGGTTCCGACAAACACCTTATATCGACAGGAGTCTGACTGAATCCACTCTAGCACAGTCAAGGAGTCTGTCCATAGGACTGTCTGACTGATGGAGAGAGTCATCTCATTCTTCACCAGTCTGGCTAGCTGTGCTCCAGCTAAGGCGGCACAAAGCTCCAGACGGGTCTGTCCTTTGGTAGGAGACGAACCTGATGGAACATGCCCTTGATATCTGCACTTATAGCCACATGATGCTGTCTGAATTGTAGCAGGATGCCCAACAGTGATGGTCCAAGGGCAGAACCAGGCAGGAGGGCTTATTGTTATGGCTCACCAGATGGTGGGGCAGGTACCATGTTTCTTCTGCCTGGGCTGCTTCCCTTTGGTTGAGTTTGGCTACATAACCTGCTTTGATGAGCTTGGCAATCTCTCCCGAGTTGATTGAGGCCTTCTTAGGGTCTTTCTGGAGTCTCCTTTCAGTACTCCTCAGGTTTGCAAGAACAGATTGCATAGACCCCTTGAGCTTAAGTGCATCTGGCTTCCACAGAAGAGGGGTGGCGTAACGTTGTACACCCTGTACACTGACTTGCTGCGTTTGGGACTCAAGCAGCTGCATAGCCTCGTTATCTTGTCTGGACCGGACCACCAGCTTCTCATTGTGAAAAGGCAACACGTCCAGTTGCCATAACCTTTCCACATTTCTGTACAGAAGATCATCTGTGTGGGCAGTGGAGATAAAGAAACATTGTTGCACTGGTGCCTGGTCTGTGGTACACATTACTGCTCCTTGGAGAGCCCACCCAAGAGCTGTATGGACTGCTACTGGACCCCCTTTAGTGCCTTGGCGAATAGGCTCTTTGGCAGTGATGAGATGAACTTGGTCTGAACCAATGAGTACCAGCGGACGCACCTTGTAAAATGGCTGTAGTGGAACTCCCCTTAGATGTGCATACCGTCTCCGAAGAGCCTGTTGTGGTACACTGTAATAATCTAGGTAATTAACAATATACATCAAAGTAACTCACTTTGTCACGCACTTTCTCTTGCACATAAACGCTGCACCTGTGTGAGAGCACGCAGTATGACTGCCGTGCTGAGGTAACTTAGTGAATAGGCAGTTACGCTAAGACCGTACATGCGGTGAACCCTGCACTACGTTATTTACGTAAGTCATTACTGAAACATCACGCAGATCGCAAGTCTTAAACTTAAAGGGAAGAATTCACAACCGTCTGAGTTCAAAAAAAGAAAGTTTTGGCAAGCCAGGCGTTCACATCCTCAAGACATGCTGTTAGATTACCTAGAGCACTCTTATTTTTCCTAGACACAGGCATATAGATTTGCATATCATCAGCATAACAGTGAAATTAGATATTATGTTTCCTGAAGATGGAACCCAGAGGGAGAAGATACAGAGAAAAAAGGACAGGAGCTAAGACAGAGCCTTGAGGCACACCACAGGATAGGTTGTGAGGGGAAGAAGAAAAATTTCCTATTTTTACAGAGAAAATGTTTTTTAACCTTTTTTATTGGTTAAAAAAGATTTAAACCAACTTAAAACAGCCCCCCCCCCCCTAGCCCAACGCAGGACTCCAGCCAAGAGATAAGGATCGCATGATCAACAGTATCAAAAGCAGAGGACAGGTCTAACATTACTAAAATGACAGAATCTCCCGAATTTTAATCATAAAAATATCATTAAGAACTCTTACAAGAGCGGTTTCTGTACTGTGCAGTGATTTAAAGTTACATTATAATCAATGAAGTTCTCAATATTGCACAATGAATCTCTTATTTACATTGCGTCTACACTTTGTTGTAATGAGAGGATTTGTGCTGAACACAACACCTGAACAAAAACTCAGGCGATTTGAGTGGTGAGTGGATTCTAACTTAAACTTACTGTTCACGAAATCAACAGATGTCTCTGATTGGCTACATTTGTCTCGGTTCGCAGGTTCATTTACTTGTTCTCTTTCTCTCTCTCCCCGTTTGTGTGTTCCCTTTGCTGATGAGCAGATCAGGTTCAGCTGTGGCTCATCAGCTTCCCTATATAATCAGTTGCTTCCTACCTCTTGTTGTCAGATCGTTGTGGTAGAGGTGTGGAGTCTAGCCCTGGAGGAGCTCTCGTGCTGGTTAGTCTATGTTTCATGCTCTGGACTGTAGCTGTTGTTCCGACTGGATTCCGGTGGGGGATTTATGGAACTTTGTATCAGCATGTCCAGGATTATCTTCAGTGACACCCGTGATACCATTCCTTGTGTTCTGTTTCCTGCCAGTTTTGTTAATAAACTGTTTTATGTGCACTCGTAACAGAACGATCTGACCATCTCTGGATTCAGTGAGTGCGTCCGAGCTCCAGAACGTCCTGGCGAGTAATGCCACTCATATGGATCGCCAAGAGGAACATTTAATACCCCCAGAGGGCACTTTGAATATCATCGACCAGTTCATATATGTCTACATGGATGACATATTGATTTTTTTCCTCTTGTCTCCAGGAACATGTTCAGCACGTCAGGCGAGTGCTTCAGAGGCTGCTAGAGAATGGGCTTTTTGTCAAGGTGGAGAAGTGCGTCTTCCATGCACAGTCAGTTACGTTTTTGGGATACATCGTCTCGTCCGAAGGCGTGCGCATGGACCCCGACAAGATCAAGGCTTGGCCAACTCCAGATTCCCGCAAGGCCCTGCAGAGGTTCCTGGGGTTTGACAACTTTTACTGCCGTTTCATTCGCAATTTCAGCCAACTAGCCGCTCCTCTGACCCCCTTCACCTCCATCAAAATGACATTCAGGGGGTGTAATGCAGCTGAGGTTGCATTTTCCAACCTTAAGAGCCGCTTCGTTTCGGCTCCCATCCTCATAGCCCCTGATCCTTCACGTCAGTTTGCCAGTGTCATCCAAGGGCCTCTCGCTGTTTCAGTGTAGTTTAGGGTACCACCTATTTTTCCGAGTTTGGAACCCGAAATCGCGGTCCGTCAAAGTCATGGGCAGAGGGGCCCATGCCTTCGTCAAGAGGTGTCATCGCAACTGAAAGAGAGCCCGACGGACTCTCCTCCAGGTGAGAGCGCGCACCAAGGCCCAAGCCGATCGCCACCGGTCTAAGCCTCCCGTGTACGTCATCGGTCAAAAAGTGTGGCTTTCATCCAAGAATATTCCCCTTCGCTCCGTTTCGAATAAATTAGCTCCTAAATTCATCAGCCCGTTCACAGTCAACAAGATCCTTAGCCCAGTGGCTGTCCGCCTTAAACTTCCTCCTGCATACAGGAGAGTCCATCCCGTTTTTCATGTATCCAAATTAAAACCCGTTTTTCATTCTGCCATTTAATCCGCCTGCTCCAATGAGAAATACATGAGAATCACAACTAAGTCTCCTGAGTTTAGAAAGAGCAATAAAATATTCCTATAGTGGAGTCTTGATGGAGATTGCAGCTTGACAATAAAGATATATTCTATGTTTCTTCCACCACATTCTCAGTTTTTACTTTTTTTTTTTTTTCCTCAAATATTTCTCAAGTCTCATTTGTGTCTACTTCTATTTCTCCTAAGGAATTTTAGGAGAAAAATCTGAAATGCTATTGATACTAAAATAAGAGATATATGAGAATCTCTTCTAAGTCTCCTGAGCTTAGGAAGAGCAACCACTGAGCAATAATTTTTTCCTGTGGGAATAGCTGTGCACTCTTCAGCACAGTGATCGTTTGTTCACCAAGTACTTTAGAATGAGCTGGTGTGCTTATGCTATTGTAAACTAGCTATATTTTAAAATATGAACATTTTATATTATAAATAAATGATTGTTGAACATAAGATATATATATATACCGTATTGACCCGAATATAAGACGACCCTGACTATAAGACGACCCCCCTTTTTCCAGATGTACCTTTTGGAAAAAGGCTTTTTAAAAACCAAATCTTGTTTTGTTTTTTTCTCAGTAAAACACATTTTGTCTTCAATTATTTTCATATTTTTCCTATTTTAATTTTTGTTTTGAAAGTATGGTAAAAACTGGTAAAAATGTACCAACAATCACATTTAAAAAATATACACTTCTTGATATACCATAAAAAACATGAATTAGGACATTTAGGCTATCCATCTAATAGTAGCCTACCAAAATTATTAACAGTAGAAGTTAAATATTACTGTAGTCTTCCAATCTGGGTACTGTCTTACATTTTAAAATCACAAAAGGAGCTTGGTCCCATCAGGCTAACGTGACAGTCACGACTCATGCAGCTGTAAGGTTTTCTGCTTCTTTTGTTTTTACTCGCGATCTTTACAGCACGCGTTACATTACGTATTTCATGGCACACTCGTTTACAGAATTGTTGACATTTTTGCAGATTTATTAAAAAAGAAAAACTGAAATATCACATGGTCCCAAGTATTCAGACACGTTACATTATAACAAGTCAGAAAACACAATGACAAATCCGAAAACAAAATAAGTCAGAAAACACAATGACAAATGTTACATTATAACAAGTCAGAAAACACAATGACAAATCCGAAAACAAAATAAGTCAGAAAACACAATGACAAATCAGACAAACCGGAAAAGGTAGGTATAGTTTGAGACAGTGCCATTGGTGGGAGAATAGATTCCTCACTGCTGACTGGACGAGACATTTGTCAATCAAGGTGTACAGGAAGAACAGCAGAGTAGTGGTAGAAAGTTTGGAGATGGTCTTAAAGTAACACAGTTTAAATGTATTGTCTGAATTGCCTTGACACCTGCTTGACTCAATGCTACACACTGAACCAGGTCAATGGGCCAATCAGAAGATGCTAAGTCCGTGAAGGCAAAGAACACAAAATACACAGATATTGAACTTTTAGATTTTTTTCTCTATTCATTGTTTTACTGTAGTTTAAACCATTTGGTTTAAAATAACACAAATTCAAATTAAGATTTCAATCAAAAATCAATACACAAAATGGATTAACCATTCACAAGTTACCTTGAAACGTACAAAAAATTATATAAACCCGATAACCCTTCTTGTCAAAGAATATTTGTAAACAAACAAGATGTGAACTAGGTCACACAACAGCAAAACAATAAATGTTAATTACCCCAGTTCATTCAAAGAATCAATTTGAGTTCAGGGAAAAATCAGAAAAAAAATAAAAATACCTCTGTCCCTCAGATTTTAAAAGGAAAAGAATCCGTCAGCAGAAAAGACGAACTGATGAGATGAAAAGATGAAGGTTCAGTCTATGGGTGGCTCGCCATCTTTCATGCGGCTTGATGCATCCACACCAGGCACGTAACTCACAGCAGAAAAATCTAAATTTCAATGCATACAACAAAACTGGCCTGTACACACAGGATAACATTCTTAGAAACCTCATATAACTCTGTCTCAACAGTATGCACCTTTTAAACCAAGATTAATGTTCATTATTTACAGCATAGGCCATAACTCACATACAATGAACATATCACTTCACTTTAACATGCATAGGAATACAAAACATAGTTTTGATTCATCATATGTACAAAAATAAATATGTAACTCACCGATTCCTCTGAATTAACAGTGTTTTGAAAATCTTTTATACCACGAACTACAGTGATGACAATTAACTTCAGCTCGACGCTCCGGATGAACAAGGCTATAAACATGTAAGCTTCTTCACAAACTCCACAATTTATCAAGTCAAGTCAAGTCTGCTTTATTGTCAATTCTTCCACATGTACAGCACATACACACAGAGAATTGAAATTGCGTTACTCTCAGTCCCTTGGGTGCATACAGATAACATAAATACAGATTAAATACAAAATACAACTATACAAATATACAAATAAGGTAAAATGTAAAAATATATATATAAAGCACAAGGCATATGGAAGATAGAGTGCAAACCAGTAAAGTAAACAACAGTGCAGATATAGTGATGTATCTTTATCAGTACTTTATCAGTATTTTAGCTCAAAATATCTCATCTACTTTATTTACTCTTTGTGCAAAAACTCTCTAGTAATTTTTTTCTAAAATAACTTGGTTTTTAGATCAGAATTCTCAAATTGTATTCACACGGATTTTCTCTGTTCCTTCATCTTCTTTTGGATTTATGGCGGGTTGCGAACCAACTTCATAGGTGCATACCGCCACCTACTGTGATGGAGTGTGAAGAGAATGTACCATTTCTCACCTAAATCTTAAATTCTGTTCATTATTCCACAATTCTTAAGAAATCTCATGATTGCACTTATTTGTTTTCCTGCATTTGGACCATCATTCAGAATACTACTTAATGAAAATTCTTTAACTCCTAAGGATTGTAATTCATCTTTAAGTCGATCCCTTTCTCTTTCATATGCTGTACATACCATCATAACGTGCTCCACTGATTCCTCTGTTAAACAAACATTACATAGACCAGTATTATGTTTCCCT